CTGAGACCAGTACTGAAGTGAGGATTGTGGCAGTGAGCAAACAAGCTTCGCAGCTTGTTCCAGCTTTAATGGACCAGACGTTATGGAACAGACTTATATAGTCACACTCTTCTGTTCTACGTTCTGTTTAATTGCTTGAATACACGGTTGCTTCTAATAAAGGTCACATCTTCATCCTCCTATCAACATTAAAATGGATTGAAAGATCTGAACAAACACAGCCAGCTCTCATTCCTCACCTCCTTTCTGATTAATTGCCTTTAGAATAGCTATTTTGCTGACAAACTGGGGCTCTATTCAATTAGCAAGGCAACATTGCCATAATAATAACCACACTAGAATCTTATTATAAATCAGCTCTTCCTCTTGGACCTTTATTTTCATTAGTGATTTTAACCTTAGAGAAGACATACAGCTTTGCAATATGCACAAGTACATATTACTTAATAACAAGATGACTTTATGTCCCCTAAATATATAGAAATATGACTTTAATTACACGGAATTGATGTAATTGGTTGCAGTCTCAATGATAAATTGTATGCATTGAATTGATACATGAAAAAAGCCATGTGTAGCTGAAAAGAAGTCTATCATATTGATATACCGAGTCAGTTTACCAACACAATGATTTACCGGACAGCCAAAACTATTAATTAATAGTTAATTAATTGCCTTTGCTTTAATGTTCTTCATAAGAGAGAAAGAATCACACAGCCCAACAAGTACCTTTAAAATCATAGATCGTTTAACATCAGTTCAGCCACGTGTTTTGTTTTTACCATGTCCCACTGCGATTGCCGAATGTGAGACACTTGTAGCTCAGAAAAACCAGGAGGAAGTGTTTGGGGGAATTTCTAATCTTGACCTCTTATTTGGAACCCCAAGATGAAATGTCTGGTATGACCATAGCTAAATCGTTGGCATTGAGTCTCCACATTCTCTCTCCTGGTATCACTGGAGCTGTCCTGTCTTGCTCTATGCATGAGATGCCATTGAGCATGTTTATTGAGTGTCTGGTTAGAGTGGGGTTTGTCTAACCCTGCCTGGCTGAGGGCCGGCCCACTGGACAGCCACACAGGTGGACATGGGGAGGAGGAGGGGTGGTGTGAGAGTTAGGTCTGATACAGGATATACAGCTCTGAGAAACGGCAGGGCGTAGCACGACGATCTGGAACAGCCGGAGGGAAACCTGCTTGGTGGTCCTCCTCCCCTCCTGAACTTCACACGAGAACTTCCATACGGAACTCTCCTTTCCTCGGATCTGTGGACGCACTGCGGGCGGGGCATCTCGGAATGCAGCCGCAGAGGCAGTCGCTCCTGCTGGAATTTCTGATTTGACCTGTGAGGCCTTGGTTGGAAAATCCTGGGAGTGAGGAGATGGACACGTGGTGACAGAATTGTATTGTATGAGATCCCTTCTGGTTGGGGAGGAAATGAAATGCAACAAGAAATCATTAACGAAAAAGACTTGCAAAATTAGTATGCGCCTAAATAAACATAATTATCTATTTTAGTGGCTCAGTCTTGCTTTGAATAAGTAAGTGCCATTACAATGATATTTAGGTTGTTATACTGCAGAGAAAATTATTTCCAGACATTTTTACATTTATTTTTCAAGTTTCGCAATTTAGAATATAAAATCTGAATGGAGCACATTAGAAAAGCCGAAAAGGATGGGCAAAATCACCATCATAATTTACAGCTCTTCAAAACCATTCTGTTCTTAATGAATTGCCTGCAGAACATTATTCTGGTTTATTATTTTAAATAATTACACATAAAACAGAGACTCCTAAATTAACCAGTAAGGCGATGTTTCTGTTTTATTAATGTATTCTGGGCTCTGGTGTTTATTTTGTGAATTCGTCTTTTGCATCTAGCTTTTCTTTCAATAAATGCTTGATTTATATTTTACTGCCTTTTGTTGATTTAGGTGAAAAGGCTGTGGCTGTAGAAAACGGGCAGTAGTGTACAGAGTCAGCATTTACTACTGGATTCTACCCATCATTTTAGTGATTAGAGTGGACAACTGCCGTTTTCCATCTCCTCCAAGGAAAATGACCTGGAAGACCATGCACAAGCACAGCTACACTTCATCAATAAAGGTGTGGGCTGAGTACAATTTTCTTTTTCCTCTCCTATAGCACTTGGGTTTCAGAGGATGGGACTGTTGTGAACATATCTATTCCTCCTCCTCATGCCACAGAGTAATCACTTCAATTTCAGTCCAGGTCCAGGGCTTTGTCCTGCTCCCTGGCGACACAGCAAGGGCCAGTGGAGGCTGACTGATCAGCGAGCAGCCCCTGTCCACTTCCAGGTTCAACAGAAACACTTCAAGCCAACGTGAGACGTCCACTGACATGCCGATGAGATGCTTTTGCAATTAGTTCTGACTTGGTGAGCGACGTGTTATTTACCACAGAGACACATCTACAAAAAGGCTTCAGGATTTCTGAAACAGTAAACGTTTCTTCTCTCTAAGTTGCAGATCTGAAAGGCGGCAGTTCTACAGGAAATTGGGTCTAGTCAATGTTGTCCAATGTCTGTTATCTTCTGTTTGACATTTTTAAACAGAGAATAACAAGTATAGGTTAATTCCACACTGCAAAAAATAATTTTTAGCTATGGAGCCTTTTTGGGTGTAAGCTCAGCCAAAATGTGTTTTTCTCCCACTTTTCTGTATGGACATAGCCTCTACTTGTTACTTTGAAGCTCACACACTGATCAGATGTGGATTTAAGCTAAGAGCCTAATATGCTCTTTATATCTGACGCTGTGAAAGATTGTGCCATCATTCTAAAAATGGGACTTCTGTGTTAGATAATGTGTATAGACTTTATGTAGCTACACCTGTGTCTTTCTACAGTGGTGGTAGTTTGGACTCTTTAAACAATACCCTCTCAATTGTTGTCGTTAAAATAAAGTGTTGTTTATGGACATGTTTGTATTTTAACAGCCAAGGGGTTGTTTCTGTCATTAAATATGAAAACAATGCCTGAAGCCAGTGCAGTACTGTAGACCTGCAGCTCCATCTACTGAATATTTGTGGAACAGATCTTATCAATCCCCCAGCATGACTCTTCACCAGGGGCGCCAAACTGTTCTCGTGTGATACGCGGCTTAACGTGTTTTCATTGCTTAATTAAATTGTCCGTAATAGGAGCTTTTAAAAGACACTCTTGTCTACCTTGTTGCATTAGATACCTTAGATATTTCATCTAATATTTCAGAATTTCAAAGTTGTTCATTTAAAAGGAGCTTTTGATTCATGTTGCATTAACTATAAAACCCACCTTGGATAGCCAAGTCTAAAACGCTTCCATATAATGATTATAGATGTTAATTAAAAGTAATTAGACCAATTAAGAAAGTGAGGATTTTGGTTGAAAGGAAAGGGGTTTCCCCTGTCCCTATCATGGACAGGGTTCAGTTCTTGGGGTGTTATTTCCTGAAACCCTTGTGGGGAGTTCCTCCTCCTGCCCCTGCAAGTGATGATGTAAAACCACCCAGGGCCCCATGTTTGTCTTTATTGGTTACAGTACTGTACTCTCAGGCTCACGTGGGTATGCGCCCCCCACCGGTGGGACTCGAACTGGGTCACTCAACAGGGACCCAGCCAGTTGAGCTAAAGGGAGATCTCCCTTCAGCCCGGCGGCTGAGGTCCCTGCGATTCACAGGGAAGGGCGGTGACGTCACAACCTGTCATGTCGGCCGTATGCGTTACAGTACCATTAATGTGTGGGCACGTTAAAACACGATATTCTGGGTTCCTTTTCCATGTTTGCAGATGCATTCCGAGATCACGGCTACCCCCTTACTGTCAGCCATCCCCACTGAAATCCTTGTTTGACTTGACCACAGAACGTTAAAACTGCACTTCTGAAGTGACATTTGTGTATTTTACACTCGTGACGTTCTTCGCAGCGCTTGTGATGTTCTGTGATCAACAGAATTGCCAAAAATGGTGTCAGAGCAAAAATCACAGGTGGTGACATTTCTGCGTGATGGAAAATGCCAGGCGGACTTGAAAAGAGAGGGTGATGCAGGGGTTTACGGAATACAGTCGTGATCTAGCTGGTTTCTAAGTCTCCCATCCATCAGCTTGAGTTACTAATCAATGATTTATAATTCAATATATTATATCGCTCGTTTCTGCGTGTGAAGGATCTTCACCTCACTTCATTAAACAGTCGACTCGCTGCAATGGGAAATCGTTGCACGTCTTCAGAAAATGCATGACATCAGACTGACCCGAAACTGTTTTTTTTTTTCAACCGAGCCTGCTGTCAGATTATTTTTAAAATGGAAAAACTGGCTGTGCCCTCTTAGTCGTACTTCGTCACTGCATCGATTCTTCATAAAGTGAATCATAACAGTTGTTTACCTTTTTTGTTTTTTTTTTAGTTTTTAGTTTGTTTTGTAGACGTGTCTCTTTTGCATTAATTCGCGTTTTGTGTCGTGAACGGTGCTTCAACATCATCATCAACAATATTAATACAGTTCGTAATTCACCCCCTCCATGAGCAAAACACATAAAACCATATAAAACATTAAGACTGGACGACCAACAATTTACACCGGAGGATCAGGGAGTTAATTCCCAGGTGTCGTTCAGTTATTGGCTATCGTCCGCTATAAGCTTTCAACTGCACTCTTAACTCCTGGATTGTGAAAACTGATATTTGCACTTATGTGCTCTTTTCTGATTGGCTTCAGCAACCCTTTCCGGCAGCCAAATTATTCCGTACTGCAACAAACTCCCTGCGAGCAATCTGCAAAGTTTTCTTTACAGTTGATTATGACATTTATCGGTTAAACCCATCGTTTATTGTTCAGATATATCACAAATAATTATACTAGACCTCAGTCATGACATACGTTCTTAGAAAACCTGTTTGAAAAAAAATATTTGCGTTAAGCTCGTATAACTAGGAAACGTTTTGTGAGTTGTGCAAATAAACGCGGCGCGGATTATAGAGATGTCTAAACGATTGACCACTTTCGCTGTGTCTGTTGGTTTAGTAGTTTGACCGTATAATTTCAGATGAAGTTTTAAACTAGATACTAACACGTTGGGGGGAAAGTATCGAAACAAAGCCGCTTGTTTCTGGTCGTTTCGGCGCAACAGGAAGTAGCTTCATACTGAGGAGAAAGATGGCGACGGGAGGGAGCGAGAGAGTTGCTTCTCGGTGGTTTCGGTCCGTTTTGGCTGGAAAGATCGTGACTCTGGCGGGTTTTTTCAGCGTCTTCCTGCTGGTGGGGCTGTGCCCGGTGGCCGTGGTCCATGCCGATATCACAGACGGTAACAGCGAGCACTTGAAGCGGGAGCACTCACTTATGAAGCCGTACCAAGGTGAGTAACTTTTCAGTCGGATGTTGCCAAGTGGTGTGTACCGCGCAGGACTCGCGTATCACCCGCCTTTCCAGGGCATCCCAAGCATAAAGTCAAATTCAGATCTGCACGCAGCAGAAAATGACGCTTCCGGTGATTACAAGCTGCAGGCAGCGCGACTGCAAGTTGATGAAACCCGCTGTTGTTAGTGCTGTCCGTAGTAAATTCTTTTTTGCAGTTCCCCAGCGAGAAGCTTCATTTCGCACGTTGACTGGGCAAGATAGTACGTTTGCCTTTCTTTCCGGAGCCCACCTGTGCAAGCCTCTCACGCCCCCGGTTCCTATTTGAAAAGCTTTACCAAGAAACACGAAAAAAACATTCTTGACGTGCGTTGTTTTTGTTTCTCGTTTTATCAGATCAAGGTTTATCCTGCCTTGTAACCGAGTTCTGCTGTAAGTCGCATTTGCTCAGTAGCTCAAGGAAGATGTAGGAAGAACGGATCTCGTTCAAATTCCAACCGGAATACAATTTGTTCATTAAAAATCACAGCCCTGAGTTTTCTTTACTAGCAGGCGACACCCATCTCCCAAAATGACTCAAGATGTAGTAGGTTATGGGGATGGGAAAGCCGGTTTTGCAAGGCCAGGAAGACGTAAACACAATTATTTTGCGACCCTCCCCCCGTTTGGAAATAGTGATGAGCTCAGAGGTCACATACAGTATACAGCGCGCAGCACACTGACGCTGCCTGCATCGGAGACCGTCCTTAGCAAACTCTGGCATATTTTGAACTTCTCTTCAGAGCGTTTGTGTGGTGCCAGTGTTTATTCTCAACCTCAGAAAAGCTTCACCATAACGGAATGAGAGAGTCACAGGAACAAATGATCAAATATTATTTAGATAATTCTTATTTTTTCCTTCACTATACACTTAGTTTGTTTGTTCTCCTGCAGCATTTGGTATGTAAAGCCCCTTGTACCAGAGACCTATTTTAATAACCTGCCCTGTAAACTGGCCTAAATGTAGTCTTGTAAAACATACCTCAAGCATTTTCAGCATGTCAGTATTTTGAATTCACTGTGACTTAAGTAGTCTGTTTGAGTGACCTACAGTATGTTCATCTCAAGGAAGATGGGATTTTGACCTTCTTTGCTCAGAACCTTTTGTTTTAAATTGATCTTGCAGGAGTGGGAACAGGCTCTTCGGCGCAGTGGGATTTCTGGGGTAGTACTTTAGTGACCAGCCAGTATGTTCGTCTGACGCCAGACGAACGTAGCAAACAGGGCTCCATCTGGAACACGGTGGTGAGTAAATGGACTCGGTAGAAAGAAACCAGATTCCCATGTGGGTTTTCCCATGTGTCCGCTTGAACAACGGAACTAATAAAAAAGGCCACTGCAGTTGAAACATCCGCAAGCTGAAATAATACAATTGTATTGTAACCCATTGGGATCCCACAGCTCCTAACATTTTAGAAAGAGACCGACTCCATCTGCCACTGACGCGGTGCAGCTCACTGTGGGTCTTTCTGCGCCGCACCAGATCAGCTGGCGGAGGGAGGAATTCAGGGAGGCCAGAACGTGCAAGCCCAGACTTGCATTTAGCCTGTAGGCCAGGGATAACACCCCCTGCTCGTCAGAGCAGAGCCATGGCATCTTTAACAGCCCAGTAGTCAGGTTAACATCTTGTCAAGGGGGGGCACCTTCCACAGCAGTCTCTCCATTCAGGGTGCTGGAGCAATAGTGTGTGGAGACTGTGGTCTAGAGGAATGAGTGCCCCCGTACTGGTCCACCAGCTCCATTGAAATACAAAATACAGTGTATATAATGTGTATTGCAGCGTTGTAGAGGTTGCGCTTTCCCCGCCTGAAAGTTGGCAGGGAGACACCCTGGGGTTAGGGCTAGTATGTCTTCTGGGGGGCGTGGGAGACTGTGTGGTTGCCTAGGAAACAAAGGGACACTGAAGAAAGGCAGTGAAGTGTGTGTATTCGCACCAGAACTGAGCGGACAGCTGGAGAGACTGTCCTACGCTCCTTCCTTTTATATTTGAGCTACCAGCTCAGTTTGGGAATAGCCTTTTCCATACATTAAAAAAGTTCTTTCTACGTGCATTACAGTGCCGACCTCCGCCACCCACTTTACAATATATTATAATATAGTAACATCGCATAATATGTATAAAATATCCAAATATAGTTGTGTATGGTTTCTAAAATTTGGATTACACCTAAATCGCAAAAACACATTTGCATTCAGTATTTATCCAGTCAGTGCTTTTGATGCGTCCTTCTTTCTGTTTGCAGCCTTGCTTCCTAAAGGACTGGGAAATGCATGTGCAGTTCAAAGTACATGGATCTGGAAAGAAGAATCTGCATGGCGATGGCATTGCCATTTGGTACACAAAAGAGAGACTGCAGCCTGGTAATTTGTCACAACTCCTTTTAGGGCTTAACGTCTAAACTATCCCCCTTTTAAAAAAACCCTGTAGAGTTTCATTCCTGCATTCCTGGGTAGATCTCAGAAAACTTGAGGAAAGGGGCTTGTTTGCCAGGATGGTTGGCTCTCTGCCGACTCAGCTGGTGTTATCCCAGTCACTTGGGCTCTGTGCACTTTCCTTCAGATGGGACACTGTGGAGGCGAGATAAATGAATGTGCAGCTGCCCACTGTCAGTGTTAATTCACCCCCTTGTGTCTGTAGTTCACTTTGTGCAGAAGCTTCTGCTAAGGGACTAATTATAGGTCTGCACTGCGTGGCAGACGAGAACAATTTTTAATTAGTAGGAGATGAAAATGAAGGAGTCTACTGCACCGAAACGAGAATTAGATTGCTCATTTTGCATGGGTTCATCTGTGATTTAAATTGCTAAGCAAATAGAACAGTACGGTTTGGAAAATGTTATTTTACGGGGCATCACTGTTGTTGCACAAACGTCTCTGAGTGGAAAGGGTTTCCCCCTTGTGGTTTGCTCCCTCCTGACTTCAGCCTTCAGGGTTTCCTCTTCACTCGGCTCGATTTTGTTTTATTTCTGCTGGAAACCCTTGTTCTGATTTTTTTTTTTGTCTGGTTTTAATCTTCGGTGTCTGCCACTCCGTCCCTGCCTCCGCTCAGGGCCGGTCTTCGGAAACCAGGACCATTTTGTTGGCCTCGGCATTTTTGTGGACACCTTCCGCAACGACTTGCACGGCATGGACGTAAGTTTGCCCGTGTTCCTGTACTCACGGATGCGGTTTTCTCTCTGCAGGACCTGTGCTTGGAAGCAAAGATAACTTCCACGGGTTGGCCATTTTTATAGACACGTACCCTAACGATGAGGCTTCTGACGTGAGTGATGGGCAGCCTTTTCTTCTTTGCGACGTGTTTGTTGCGTAAAGGGGATACGATGGTGTTTGTATAACAAATTTGTAGAGCAATGGATTCAGAACATGCATTCTGGTTGGTAGTTCAGCCTTATAGTAGCTCCTGCTCTAAGTATGCTAGATGGGACAGCTTACAGTTTATCCCATAACTTCCCCTTGCTTCTGAAATGAAATGGTCTGAATTTCATGTACCGCAGTACAATCAGAAAACGCAAAAGCAGGAAGTGACCTGAACTCATTAAACTCATTGGGTAAAGGAAATAAGGATCACATGCTTCTGTCGTGTCTTCCCAATCCTTATGAAAAGCTTGGTTTGAATACTTTGGAGAAATGAGAAATCTGGATGTTTGATCTCTCAAATACCTGAGGCTGTTGGATGTTCCCCCATGTAACTTCCTTGGTCACTGTTGGGGAAAATGCAGGGGTGACTGGAATGTTTTTTTTTTCTGAATCCATTGTGTCAGATCTGAGCATTCTCCTTGTTGCCTTCCTATATAACACCAGCCACAGCCTGCCTGTCTCTTCCAAGCTTTGTCTCTTCTAAACTAACCAGTATAAATGCTGGGTGAAACGCCGATGACCGAAGAATTGCTTTTACTTTCCCAAACTTTTGTTTGACAGCTTCTCGGCTTGAGTTTTCTGTAACTCTGGAAAGATGAATGTTGTTTGCTTTTTATATCTCTGTGTGTAGATTTCCTCTCCCAAAAGAGCGACTTATTTTTATTAAAGTGTACAAAGCAGTCAATGAGTCCAGCGGGTCTGTTATATTTTTATTTTTATCTGTTCTGGTAAAGAAATAAGCCAGAGGGCGCTGCCAGGCTCAGGAGGCTCAACTTGGAGTTGTTACAGCTGCTGTGTGATCTAACAAATGACAGTGAAGCGCTGGTTTGCTCGATTTCACACATGTGCCTGGACTGTAATTATTTCTTTTCTCTAAATGTGTTTCAAAATGCAGACGGAGCAATTTTCTAATGACACCTTCGTTTTGGAGACAATTTAAATCTTGCAGCTACATTTGTGGAGAAACACACAGTAGGGTGATGATCTTTTTCACAGGATCGGGGTGAAGAAGAGAAATGCAAAGAGAGGTCCTGCACAAGAAAGTTTCTCTTGGTGATGCTTTTTTTTTAAGTGCTGTGTAAAATGACTTAAAAGTCAGGCTGCCAGGAGTGAGAAGTGGCAGTCCTGATCCTCCAGAGAGTGTGGGTGTCGCCGAATCCAGATTAATTAATGGATCGATGTTGTTGGTGTTCTGTCGCCTTTAGCGCTCATTCCCCTACATCTCCGCCATGGTAAACAACGGATCTTTGGCCTACGACCACGGGAAGGATGGGCGCTCGTCTGAGCTGGGAGGATGTTCCGCTGAGATCAGGAACCGGGATCATGACACCTACCTGGCCGTTCGCTACTCCAAAGGCAGACTCACAGTAAGGGTGACAGATGAGCCTCTTGTTTCCAGTGAGGGCACAGCACTATGGTGCTAGGGCGATAGAGACTTTCACATGAAGACTCCTGCGTTTGCATGTCTCCATGTGCATTTAAGTATTGTTCCGACCTATGGGATAGGGTGTTTCCCTGTTGACGTACCTCCCAACGAAGGGGAGCAAGCTGTGAGCCGAGAGGAGAGATTGTCAAAGAAAACTAAAAAAGGCAGCTCTGTTTTAGGAGGCAAGTAAAAGAATGGGTTTACCATGATCTTGTGTGGACCTCAGGTTTGGAGCAAGGTTTTCCAAAACTGGAGACATTCCAGGTTTGTGCTACAGGGCAGAGGTGGTGGAGAGATCGTGCAGTTAGAGACTTTATTACTTCTTGGAGTCCCCACTCCAGATCAGATCAGATCAAAATGCCATCCTGCCGGAACGAGACCATTTTTAATAGATGGGGAATATTTACATTTACAAGTTCACTGCATGCCTTGAAACTCTCGTCGGTGTTCATTAAAATAACCTTGTGTCTTGACCTGTGTTTGAACGCTGGTTTGTTTTTAGTCGTTGCAAATGCATTTGAGGTATTCCGAATGAACCCCGTCAGCGCTGAGCTGAGTCTCAGGAGGTGCTTGCAGTGCCTGATCAGAGTGTATCAGTAACACATATGTTGCCTTTTGCACAGGTTATGATTGATGTGGAGGACAAGAACGAATGGAAAGAGTGCATCGATATTTCTGGAGTCCGGCTGCCCATTGGTTATTACTTTGGGGCCTCAGCAGCTACCGGCGACCTTGCTGGTGGGTTTGTCTGTGACTTGTGTGCACTATGCAACCAACAGCCGAATTAATAAAGGACTGAACTGAGCAGTCATGCACACCGCTTCAATGGCATTCTTGCTCCCTAGATAACCATGACATCATCTCCATGAAGCTGTACCAGCTGATGGTGGAGCACACTCCAGAGGAGGACAGTTTGGACTGGACCAAAATTGAGCCCAGTGTCAGCCTGCTCAAATCGCCTAAAGGTAATGTTCAGCAAAGGCCAGCACAGCCTGCACTGCAGGTTGGATGTTGTTTCTGTAGTTTTCAGAGTGTTTAATTTTTCTTTTCAGCCAATAAGGCATTTTCTCAGCCTAGTTTAAACTTGGACATTCTGATAACAGGGTTCCATTTTGATGCCAAGCGCTGCTTTTGTGGCAGTTTTCTTTTTGCCTTTCAACCAAAATAAGAGATAAATGGCTGCATTATTCTTTGAATCTGTGAATTGTCAGTGGGCTTTTTTTGTTTTCCTACATGTTTGAATTTATTTTTGTCTACTGTATCATTGCATTAGGGGCATTGTGAGATCGCAGTGAAGCCATTAACCGGCTGGCTTAGCACGGGGTCACTTATATAGCTAAATATTGTTTATTTATGCAGCTCTTTAGCTGATCTTGCGTTGTTGAAAAAAACAAATGCAAAATAAGAACTTAGTATTTTCCAGTGTGTTGAAAATGTAGTTTCCCTACACCATGCTTTCCTCGATGTCGTTAGAGAAGGAGAAGTATCTGATCTGTTTCTCCGGCCGCAGACAACATTGATGACCCCACGGGCAATTTCCGGAGCACCCCGCTGACCGGCTGGAAGGTCTTCCTGCTGCTGCTCTGCGCCCTGCTCGGGATCGTGGTCTGCGCTGTCGTGGGGGCGGTCGTCTTCCAGAAACGCCAGGAGAGGAACAAGCGCTTCTACTGAAGGGGCAGATGGAACGGCGCTCCGAGAAATCAATGTGAATTTTTGAAGATTGTATTAAATCACCGTGTCTATATCTGTAAATTGCTGGTATGAGAGCAAATGACTTCAGGTGTTTTCAGTACGTGCAGTAGAAAACTTGTAATCAACAGGTGGCTTAAGTGAGAAACTGCATAAGAGCAAGATTGGTTCTTCCTCTGTCTTTATTTTCCAAGGAAACCAAATGTTTAAAATCTTTTAATTATCAAAATCTTTTAAATTAAGTTCTTGGTTATTTTTCACTACAAGCAAAAAGGTTGTCCATTTTATCCTTTTTTTTCCTGTCTAAAATTTGTTACCTTTATTTTGTTTTGTATTTTCCTTATGTTTAAGTGAGTCTTTATCTTGTTATTCTTGCACTGGCTGTGATCTCTCTTGTTTACAGTTGTATTGAATTTGATGCTGTTTTTTTTTTTTAAAGGAGTCTCTCCTTGTAAAGATGAGGTGGTTCCATATTTAAACTGAACTTTCAAGCCTTTTAAAGCACTGACCCATACAGTTTATGAGGATGATGAGGAACGCGCCCTGCGGTTCGCATAGACGTGCCTCCTTATGAATAGCATGGTGCGATCGGTTACCTTGCTGCATGCTGGGGGGAACGTCAATGTCTGCCGATACGTCTTCAATAAGAGATCAACCCAGTCCGTTATGAAAGCAGCAGAAGAGAATGCCTCTCACAGCTCATAGAACCAAGATTGACAGCCTTATAAATTTTCAAGTCATTGCATCCATGGTCTATTAATTTTAAGCAGAAGCTTTGTTGTTACATGGTATGTGTTCAAAGGCACATATCGCACAATGGGCACTTCAGATGCATCAGTGGCGTTGGCAGATCTGCGGTCGTTTAATAACTTACAAAGGATGTGTTGATTGAGCTGTCTGAAGCACAGTCCTGAACACTTAAAATCTCGGCTTGCTTCCATTCAGAATTGTTTATATATTGTAGATGAGCCTTTTGGTTGTTTTTTTTTGCTGAAAATAGGTGGCAGGTATCTCCCCTTTCGCTACGCGTACTAGCAGAATTGCACGAGCAGGGGTGAGGCTGTGAAACCAAAGCTTGGATCAAATTGGCGTTGATGAGTGATTAAGGTCCTTGAAGGGGAGGGGTTGGTAAAGCCTGTTTGCACCGTGAGCCTTGTTTTGGGCAGAAGGGTGGTAGGCAGGCAGCTGATGAAAGTTTGAGTCTGAGTACAGTGTTTTTCACCATAGCAAACAAGACCAAGTTCAATATTTAAATTCATGATGGGGGGTACCGCAACACACAGCAGATGACTATGCCCGTTTTTTAAAGGTATCAGTATTTTTGCACAAGTAGAACTCATACATTTTTGGAAGGCGGCAGTTCTTAAATTTGGAAAGCTTCTTAAACAGCATTCCTGTTTTGTTTCCTAATTCTGATTAGAAATTGCTTTGTATGTGGGTTAAATACCAGTATTAGCCTTTTTATGATGCCATGTTTTTCTGTTTAAATCTTGATAGTTATCAGGAACTTGGCGCTCCCTAACTACATATTTTAAACAAAATGAAAAGCGTTTTTCCTTCATAGAATGCACTGTCCTTGCCTCAAGAAGTGTGAAATACTGGCACCCTTTTAAATAACATGGAAGTAACGTGTCGAAGAGATTCTATTGACAAAAATAAGTTTTGTCTTTGGTGGGTTGTGGGTTAGCATGAAAAATGTCTGCATAAAACTAAAGAACAAAGCCTAGACTACTGGAGGCAGATGGTGAATGACAGTATATATTTGTAACAGAAAGTGTACGATTTCCATGTGCTTATTTTAAGGTGATCCGTGGTGGTTCTGTTGAATAGTTTTTAATGATCACATTTATTGAAGGAGCTGGACCACTAAGGTGTAAAGGGCATGAGTCTTAAGATAACGCTTTTAAGGAGTTTGCGAAATCTCGGCTGTCCAAAGAGGAATGATTGGAACATCGTCTACTGAAATAAGTTCTTCATGTCATGTTTTTTTTTCCCTATAAGTGGGTCTTGCTGTAACAAGTGGTTTGTGGTGTCCCCCAGAAGAAGTAAAAAGAAAACTTGTTACCTTCTGCAAATCTGCTGGGAATTGAACGCTGGTTTTGACTCAATTAAAGTAATTTAAATTTCTATTTTTGATGTCTTTATTTTACACAAGGTCTGCCTTTGGGAGACCACCGCACAACACCGCTTCGTTAACATTAACTATTTCATTTTGAATAAATTCATGCAGAGCTGGCATCTGCAGCCCTGGTCTCGGGTCACCCTGAATCGCCATGTTTAATACTGTAAGAGCATGAATTCCTTATTGACCAATTAATTGACCAAGCATTTTGTCCGATTAATAGAACTGTAGGTCCTTTTAAGTTTCAGGTGACCTCTGAATCACTTCATTTAAATGTTATCCGTTTAGAGAATCAAAAAGGTTGACTTGTTCTAGGTCTTCAGAGACTGATTTGATTCATTTAGTGGCGACTGGTACACCTTCTTAAAGGGGTTCTCTGGGAATCAGGCTGGGGACCCGGTGTTGAACAGCGCCCTCTGCAAGACTACTGTGCCCTTCCAAAGTGCTTTACTATCATATCATGGCACGTTTTAATTTGTGAGCAGTTCAATAGATCCTATGTTCAATAATAAATGTAAATTCTAGACTCCGTATAAGTTAGGATGGGGTTGAGACAAAGGTAAAGGGGTTGTGTTGATCATAGCTAATGTGTTTTTTTAATAAAATGTCATCTAAAATGTAACAGAAAGCTATGACCTGTCGAAAGCCTCAACGTGGAGTATTACAAGCACACCTCAGAAGCAAAGGGGTATGGTCAATAGTCCGTGCTTCAAACGTTTCCTTAATACGTCTTTAATTTTGTGGCGTGGCTAAAACTACAACTACCACAATCCCCTGCTCCCTGTTTGGTCGACCGTTGATTGGCTGCTGCTGCGGGGTTACGTGGCATTGCTGTTCTCGCGCAGGCGCACTGAGCTTTACCTATTTTGTCACCCGGTTGTGAAGATGGTGGCCGTGAAAATGAGTTTTAGCATGTTCTCTCTGGCTCTCTTAACTTTTCTTTTCGGCTCTTCCTCCGCCTTGTACTTCCATATCGGGGAGACGGAGAAGAAATGCTTCATTGAGGAAATCCCAGACGAAACTATGGTTATAGGTAATTTTGAGGCGTCCAGTAATTCAGCATTCAGATTAGGTGATCAGCCCTCCCAACAAGCACTGCTGTGTTGGTCTCAAAACTTTAAACAGTTCAGTATCGCCTAAGCATGGCGCAAAAATGTTTTTTTTTTTAATTCAGAAGGAACTTAATTTTATAGCACGTTGCATCATATGCATAGCTGTTTTATTTTTCTTTCCTGAGAAGGCACTTAGTGATTGTGTGACGTGCCAGTAGCTCTGGCCAATTTCCTGAACTCGTCCGACTAAACCGGTAGTTGCCGTGTTTTTGAAATGTGGACCTGTGGCGACTGTCATATGTACCCCCGATTCGGTGGGGTTGTTGCTGAGCCTTTTGGCTAAACTTTCCTTGCATCGCACTGTAATATACAGAGAGCTGGGCAGTAGCCCATGTCATGTTTTCTGAACGCGTTAGTAGTTCATATCACTTGTTTGTCTCGATCGGATGTTGTTCGCGCTCTTTAATACAAAATATCAGTTTTGGGGCTCATCTTTAATTTTCGGGACTCCTCTACACACTGCGACTAATCGTTATTGCTTCTTATGGTCTTGTCTAGAGACCGACCATAAAGTTAACCGGAGAACTCTGCTCATTTTAAATTGCTTGGCGTGGTTTTCTCATTTAGAGACCCTCCCCATCAACAAGCCCTGAAAGAATTAGCAGAGCACACCTTAGTCGGTGACCCCGAGCCCCGTTAGCACCGCTGCTGCAGGTTAGCTGGTGCATTGTAAGATATTCCCTTGTACTTGCAGGCAATTACCGGACGCAGCTGTACGACAAGCAGAGAGAGGCGTACATGCCTGCTACACAAGGCCTGGGGATGTTTGTGGAAGTCAAAGACCCAGATGAGAAGGTATGTCCCTTGTCAGTGAGCTTCTGTTTTGTGCTCAAGACAAATCCGCCTTGTTTTTTTTGTTTTTTTTTTTAGACATTTGCTGTCGCATCCGAGCATAAGAGTCGAAATATTGAGGTGGGGTGGGGAGGGGCCATTCCAGATTTTTGCTTCCGATTCCCTCTGCAGTCCAGACCCGGTTTCCGATTCCGAGGCGGTGAAGGAAGAGTGGGAACTGGTTTGGAAGCCGGGAGATGGAAGCCGGGGATCGACCGTAGTCCTGGCTAAGGAATAGGTTCATCGGTACGAGTTTAAACTCTGCCGTTTTGGGGTGGACAGTCACGCCTGTGTCCACTGACCTTCTGTGTCTCTGTGTCTCTCTCTCTCTGTGCTGTCGAAGGTGATCCTCTCCCGCCAGTATGGGTCTGAGGGCAGATTCACGTTTACCTCTCACACTCCCGGAGAGCACCAGATCTGCCTGCACTCCAACTCCTCCAAGTTCGCGCTGTTCGCCGGGGGGATGCTG